ACTGATCTTGATATTTACTCTTCATTACTTTAAATGTAGTTTTAATTTAACAAATCAAGCTCTGTACTAGCTGTGGGCCAAATGGTTCTAACAAGTGAACCAAGAAATCAGAATTGAAGCACTTATTAAATGTAACATTTATTCAGAAGCCCAAGGTCATAAATTCAATGTTACTAGAGCTTCTGGCAATCTACAGATTAATTTTTCTCCTGGTCAGGATATCTCCAATTACTTGATGACTGAATCATCCTTTTGACAGTTCCTATGAATTACCAGTATTGATTAAAAAAACAAACTCCATCTAGAGATAAAAATAACTCACCAAACTAAAGCTGCTTTAACCCAATCTTTCGGAAAAAAAAAAAGTTTTGCTCCCACAGCTGATATTAATTTTTTTTTTCAAGGTTATCACCTTATTTCTTAGGCACTATGGGACTGTTATTTTTTACTAAAAAAAATTTCCTCTTTAGACAGCGAATTCTCTGTCTGCATCTGCGTTTTATTGTTTTGTTTTTTATTTTTTTAATTATTTTTTTTTTCAACTTTTCAATGAAACATTGACTCTAAAAAGCCCCATGGCCGTGTGGACGAGCCAATTAACTAGGTATTTAATTCGAATCACCACCTGTCTTACTCTCTTCTTCTACCTTCCCCAGGTATAATCTGGTCTCCAACCCCACTGCAGAAAACCCTACATTAATATTTAAGGATTATTTACAGTTAGCATCTTATTAACCGAGCTAGGTCGGTCTGAATGGGAGAATCTTGACCTCGGTCACTGGTACAGACCTCACTGCATTTGGTCTGTACTGGTGACCTCGGTCAAGATTCTCCCATACAAACCTCCCCCTCGGTTAATAAGAACTAAATAATAACCACATGGATTACTTCGTCACGTTTGACTGGAATTCGTATCGCGTGACTATTTGCTGAATGTCGTGACAAACAAACTCGTGCGTGACAATGCTGGTTGCCTCAGGCTGGTTTCAGATGCTATAAAACTGATTGCGTTTTCAAGCGATGACGATCTTTCCCAGTCCTTCCATGGCTGTGACACACGTGCCATAGTGGCTTGTGGAGGAGAATATCCCCTTTGTTATGTCCCTCAGGAAGATGAGTGGAAAGAATTACCCAACAGGTTGTCAAAAGAGCGACTCGACATCCTTTCAACTGACGTGATACGATTTCGTGATCAGTTGTTCCTGTTTTGTAACGGGGGTCAAGCTGAGAGGTATGATCCTCTCTTTAATGGTTGGTCATCAGTCCCTTTTGGCATATGTCAGGACAAGGTGACTGTCATTGGAGGAGAGTTATTTTCTATTGATGAAACTTTCAGAAGACTTAAGGGGATTGAAAGCATAACAAAAGCAACAACAACCATTAACAAATTCCATGTAGAGTCATGTTCATGGCAAAAGCTTCACTCCTCTTCTCAGTGCTACAGAAAAGAGTCTTGTGTCATTGGATGTGGTAACTTTTTGTATCTTTTGGGTGGGAAGTCCCCACATACATCCCAATATGTTTCCAAAACTGACAGATTTGACATTACAAAAAAGAAGTGGGAAGAAATTGCAGAAATGCAACAAGCAAGAGGTGGGGCTTTTGGTGTGGCCATTCAGGAAAAGATTTTTGTTGCCGGAGGAGCAGACGAAGAAAACGCGGTGTTGAAAACATGTGAGGTATACAATGTTTCCACAAATGAATGGCAGTTAATTGCAAACTTGAATGTTTACCGCACTTATGGTAGCATGGTTTGTCTTGGTGGAACATTATATGTGCTGGGTGGCTTTGACCAAACTAAGAAAAAGCCAGAATATTCAGTTGAATGTTATGACTCCAAACAGGGCAAGTGGATTTTGAGGACAATCATACCAGTGGAAGAGGGCTGTAAGAAGAAACCTGCATTTAAAGGCTGTGTGCTTAAGTTCTCCAGAGGAGTATTGGATTATCTTGATGATGCAATTGAAGAAGAATATTAACTCTACTCAAACTGTACTCAAATGAAAAATCATCTCAAGAAAATGCAATGAAGAAACAATTTGTAACAGCAATGGAATCCCCTTGATCAAAGCTAGAGAAAGTTCCTAGGTAGAACAATGGCTGAACTTTCCCACCAACCTGAGTCAGGAGAGAAACATGGAATTTCCTGTGCAGAAAGCTATACCATGTTAAGAGAACAACATTTGGCCTTGTAGTTTAAAAGGTGCTAATTGTAAATAAGAGAAATAGTGTTCTATATACACAAGTTTCACTTAAGCACAGTTTTCAAGAGTTTTCTTTTTACAAATGTTATGCTTTGTGCTATCAAAAAAGTGACAGTGCATTTGAACCAGGATGAGAATCTCATCAGACCTGCTTTTCACTAAAACAAGCCTACTAGTATTAAGCTTGTCATGGAAACATCAATAAAAAAAAATACACTTTAGGCATTGTTGATTCTAGCAAGGTGCCTGTCACACTTGAACCTAGTGAGTGGCCCAAGCCTCTAACAAATTCTCAGTCAATTCAACCCCCTTCCTTTTCATCCTGAGCAAAATTTCAGAAGTAAAGACACACGGCACAATGATAAGGCTCAAATATGTTATGGGATTGGTTATTCCATGGGGTAGCTATTTAGTTAGACTGGTAACGTCTCAGTTTAAAAAAACATGCACTTGTATTTGAAAGCCTGTAAAAGCTTTTGTCTTACAATTATTGCATTTTTAGAGAAGTGTTTGTGTAGAGAGCTCATTTCACTGTACATGTTATTTAGTAATCCGGGTGGTGAACAGGAAATTTTCCTTGTTATACACTTACTTAATATTTAGTGGTCTGGTTCACCGAGAAGTTTTATGTAGCTACCTTGATAGAGTATAATCTCACTGTGAAATTATAACTGGTTGGGACTGAAGCTATCACAATTGACTTTTCTCTGTTCTTTGCTTGGGACAAATGTTTAATGTCACTCTTTCAATAGATGAGTATTTCCTTCATACGCATTACAAGCAATTTCTCAAGTTGAACTCTTTGATCCATGAAAAGTGACTGGCATTTAATATCTCCTTACATTATCACCCCTGAATCAATCACTAAGGTCACGAGAATAAAGGAAATGATCACCAACTAAAGATTACAAGCTCTTGATTGTTAAACAAATTCTCCTTGTCAGCACCTTAGAAAATGTTTAGAGATTACAGTATGGAGAATAATTATGCATACTGATGTTAGGGTGTAAAGGGTTTATAATTATAATTATTATATGGCTGTGTCTCACAAGGAGCGGGAACTACTGAATTCACAAATTTGATTGGCTGAAAGCGGTCTAGATTTTCCCATCTGGCCTGCAATTCAATTCAGCGCTATTTCAGCATCCGTGCCATTCCTTAATTTTTAGTCGGGATCATTTGCGTTTCGGTGTGGGGATCATTTGCGGTCCGGGATCATTTGCGGTCCAATTTGGGATCATTTGCAGTCCGGGATCATTTGCGGTGCGGGATCATTTGCGGTCCAATTTGGGATCATTTGCGGTCCAATTTGGGATCATTTGCGGTCCGGGATCATTTGCGATCCGGGATCATTTGCGGTCCAATTTGGGATCATTTGCGGTCCTGGGATCATTTGAGGACCCGTACAGATCCAGCGATATGAGAGAGGCGGTAGAAGTATGGGTTCTTTGCTTATTTTGTTTCTTCATCAGTTTTTTTAGTGTAGCATTAATTGTAATAGTATTGTAGTATTGTTGAGTCAGTTTGCTAGACATAACGTCTCGTAGTCACGTTCGACGCACTAAAAACTACTATAAAACGAATACAAGAATTGTAAAAACGTGTAAAATGGTATATAAAAAGTCACTTGTAAAAATGTAGCGGAATTCCAAATCGATTTCGATCAATTACGATCCTCATCAGTAGTACTCCGCCATGTTTAAAATACTCATAAATAATTGTTCATATAAGTGACTCTGAAATGTCCACACTTCTTCCAGGCTTCATGTAAGCGGTCATGATGTATCAATCACAGCTCGTGGGATTTGAAAAAAGTTCCATTCGTTCTTGGAGTTCATAAGCGAGTCTTCGTTCACATTATTTATCCTCACTCCTTCAGTTATTTGTCTCAGCATCGCGTCATTGTGATAAACCCCCGTCACATCCATTCGGAACTGCTTTACCTCTCTATTGTGTTTCTCTTTACAGTGTTTCCACAATGCAGATCGTTCTTCCTTATTGTTAAGTGATTTCGTATGCTCTTTCCCTCTGGTATACGCGCTCCTGGCTGTTTCCCCTACGTATACGCTGTTACACTGGATACACTTAATCTCATACGTCACACTTTCTCTATCACACGGTCCTTTTCCACCTGTGCTACACACTGGGCAGTCTTCTCGTCCACACTGTCGCGGTTTAAATGGGTCGGACTTTTGGAGTAGTCGTTTAATGGCGATTCCGGCTTTCTCCACCACTTTAATATTGAAACCTTGCTGCTTTATTTCTGTCTGGTATTCCTTCCGTAACCGTGAGTTGGGCGTAGCTGGTACAAA